AATGCCTTCAGGGCATGTTTGGCCAGCTGGAGAGTTGTGAGGTTCGAACTCCAGCAACCCGAGGCTGACAGCTTTGTGGAAGCAGCCACTTAAAGGACTGAGCTAGGGCCAGGCCCCCTAGCAGAAGAATTTACTACAAGCAAGCTTGATATATTGGTAAACTAAGCTAGAAAGTATGTGAAAGACAATATTAGGGAAAAAATACTCAGGGAGGAAGACCTTTGATCATGTAAACGAAAGACAAGGAGATTCTAGTTAGGAAATTGTCCTATAATCTTAGAATATCTAGAAATAAATCTGAATGCTTTTTTTCCTTTTAACTTTTCATCCCTTTTCTCCCTTGAAACTCTCATAGTGTATAATAGTCTTGTCCAACAGTCGTTTCACACAAAATACTTGATTCGTAAATGAGAGAATATCTCATTGCAGCCATGTACCACTACTCTTGGCTTTTTAGGTTTATTAACCAGCATTTAAGTTGTGGAAACAGGTATTTTTTAAGACTTTTTCTTTTGTTTTGTTTCTTTTTTCTTTTCTTTATGTTATTAAGTTTTTCCTAAGAGTTATCATTTTTGCCATTTATAATCATACATTTCAGTTCATTAAGTGCATCCTGAATCTTCCTGCTGTATATGAAAATATTCTCCCTTCTCAAAATACCAACATTGTTGCTTATAAGAAAAGCAATTTAGAACTGATTATGGTTTCCTTCTAAGAGCACTGAGCATTTTACAAGTCTTAGAATTCTCATCTGACAGATTGAACCAAACAGAAAAATAGAAATGAAATTTATTACCTCATTTCTAAAACAGATTTTTATCTGTTGAAAACTGACTTTACATTTATGTGTCATGTTTAATTGTTATGGTCACTATTTAAAACAATTTTAACATGTCTTAAATCTTAAAACCAGGCACAGTGGCACATATAATTTCAGCTACTGGGGTAGCAGAGGCAGAAAATCACTTGAGCCCAAGAGTTCAAGACCAGCATGGGCAACATAACCAAGACTCTTTCAGAAGGGAGGGGCAGAAAGAAAGGAGGAAGAGATAGAGGCAGGGAGGGAAGGAAATGCTTAAAGTTGGGGTACATTTATTAGGAGCTTAAAGCCCTTTTAAAAAATGAAACAAGTATTCTTTGCTTCGTAATTTCTTCATCTAAGCTTTGCAAATTATACTTTGATCAGTTTTGGATTTTTGTTAATGTATCTGGAAGGCCTATGATATGTATTTCTTTTGTGAATTATGAATGTAAGAAATTCTATTGATTTCAGTGTTGCTTTCTCTAGGGAACAAAGAAAGAAGAGATTGAAGGTGAAGAGGAAGTGTCTGGTTTAATTCAACCTGCAGAAGTATTTGCTCCCAAAAGCCTGGTGTTGGTATCCAGATTAGATTATCCAGAAGTTTTTAGAGTAAGAACTCAAGTGATCATTATTAAATTACTGTGTAAATCTATTTCGAATGAACCATGATAGGTCTCTTGTATTGAAAATATCATTAAATTGGTTTAGTGACTGATAGATAAAATTAGCATGAACAGAAGAATAAATTCATTTTGGGTGAAAGGAATACCTGAATAAGTTAATGTGACTTTTTATACCTATAAAGATGTAGTGCCCATTTTGTATCTGTATATTCAAAATGGTTAGGATAGATATATAGCTACATTCTCTTAATTCAAGGAATAGAGGGATTTTTTCTAATGGTGTTTGTAAATAGGATATCATTCCTGCATCTTGTACAACAAACAACCACTAGGAAGGCAGTGTGCAGTATGTTAATTATTAGAACTGTCCTGCCAGTTTGATTTGAAACAGTCTCATTGCTACTTATTGCTCAATAAAATTATGGAAAAAATGAAATAAATAAAAACCATCAAAAAAAAAAAAGATCTACAAACCATGGTACAAGGTTTCAGGGTAAATCCTGAGGGGATTTGACTGACCTTGTCAGATACAAAAGTTACATTTCTTGTTATATAAGTCTTGCTCTATCTTGGTCTTAACCATCCAGCAGAAAAGTATAAAAATGAGGTATAAAAAATAAAGCCATATTAATATGCTGAGGTGTAAAAGGCTCAAGTCAACAACTTCTGACATTGCCAGTCCTATGGATAACCCACTACTATTATGGACTACTGGCCTATGTTAGATTTTTTTTTTTCTGCATTCATACACCTACATTCTATTTGTCAATGGAAAAACCATCTCTAACAAAACTAAACAAAAAAAGGTGATACAAATCTAGGACCATTTTGTATCTGTATATACAGAATAGTTAGGATAGATACACAGCTACTTTCTCGTAATTCAATGAGAAGAAAGATTTCTACTAATAATGTTTAGACAAGATATCATGTCTGCATCTTGTACTATGAATAACCACTAAGAAGACAACAATATGCAATGTATCAGTTATTGAAACTGTCCTACTAATCAGTTTTGAGACTCATTGCTATTTGTTTCTCAATAAAACTAATTAAAAAAAAGATGTAGTGTTTATCCTTATGTCAGTCCCACATTAATTAAATCCAAAAGCTGTAAACACTAAGGAAATAATTAAATTAAATGCATTAGTAAGTACAACCTTGTATATTCAACTATGAGCAGTAGATTGAAGTAAATTTTGGATTACTTAAGATTTCAGACAATCCTGGTCATACTGTTGGCAACATTTCTTAAAATATTGTTTATTTCCAGATTTCTTTCTTTTTTAGACACTGGGAATTTTCAAATTTAAGATAATTATTAGTAACTTATAAAAAACTTCCATAAAGTGAGATAATATAGTCTAGGAAAAAAAAGTGTCTAGATTTAGTGATAACAATGTCCTGATGTCACTAAAATGGGGATAACATTAAACCTGTCACTATCTCACACACAAAAAAAAAAAAAAATTTAGTGATGGGATAGCTTTTCAACAATTACTACTATTTCAGAGTCACAAGTTTCAATAGCCTGAAAGAATCATGAAAATCAAATTTCATCTTGTTTACCATGTCCCTTCTATTAATCTTATTACCTTCCCTGTTTTGCTACCTTGCGTTATAATTCACACTGGATAAATTTTCCACTGAGTAAATTTATAACAACCATAAAATAAGATCAAATGTCTAATATTTTTAAGTCTTGAGATTTAGAGTTTTGCAAAGTAAGTTGAAATAATAGGGCAAAATAGTAGAGCAGAACTAGTTTTAGCTCTGCATGTTGGTTAGAGTACTTTTCTGAGCGCAGGCAGCTGTTTTACAAATTAAGCCTTTCTGCTTTCTGTAAACTCATCTCAAGCTCATTAAGAAGTCCTGGTTCTCAAGGAAAATTTAATAAACTTAATAATATTTGCTACTTAACATTTATTCCATGTCCACTGTAGAGTATACTTTAGTTTTTTCAAAGAGAAATTTTCCAGAAACAGATGTCATGTCAATTTATTTTTAGTAATTTTTCCATAAAATAAATGTATACACCTTCTCTTTTCAGGCTTGCCTAGGTCTGATCTATACTGTGTATGTGGATAGTTTGAATGTCTCCTTGGAAAGCCTCATTGCAAACCTTTGTGCCTGCCTTGTCCCAGCAGCTGGAGGGTCTCAGGTAAACAGACTAGCGGGTCACATAGGGGGAATAACTACTCTTTCTCTATATTAAATTGATGAGAAAGGGAAAAAAAGAATTCTTGAAATATTTTTTGTTTTAAAGAGGATTCTAGTTAAGCATTATTCCTGTTGTTTATGTTCTAGACACCTAAGATTCCATTCTTTTCTTAGGTTGTGAAGTTAATTTTAACACAGGATTTCCCTTTCATATAGCATAATTAGAAGTCATATTTTATGTAACTTAAACTCTGTATTTTCTGAACATACACTTTTTTAGACTGAACTTTTCAATATACTAGTTTTTTTACTCCTATAGTTATACCTCATTTTTATTAACTTAAAATTTGACAAAAATTTTAAGACAGTAAGAAAATTCAACACAGTTTTTTATGTGTGTGACATTATGACCATTTCTCAATAGATTCCTTTATTTGTAGGTCTTTTTTGGGGGGGCGGATATATAGCATATTCAGGGTCTCACTACTAGATCAGACTCGTAGTGATCCACCTGTTTACAGCCTCCCAAGAGCTGGGATTACAGGCATGCACCACCAAAACCCCATCTCAATTACCATCTCAGCATGCCCCGGGGGCAGGGCCAGCATGACAGGCTGGGGATTGAACCCCTGACCTCTGCGCCTGCTTGCAGGCGCTGAGCTATTTGGCCCTTATTTTGTAGGTCTTAAGATTCTTACATTTGCCTCTGAAATAGAAAACTAAGAATCTTAGCTGCTATATTTATTATTTCTAGAGCAACCATACTTTAAAAGGAATGGACTTGGGATCTGGAGTAAAATTTATTGGTAGAATGTATGCTTTAACATCCACAAGGCTCTAAGTCTTAATCTCCAACATCAAAAACAAAGCCCTTTCCCTTTAAACCATAAAATCAATTGGTTTTTTTAATTTTTATCTAATGTTGAGGAAAAGGGACCTAAAGATCACATTGTCGTCAGTCTGGTAGATATATTCCATATATTAAAATTGGCATACATTTTCCTTGCCCTTTAGCTTTTTAACTGTCCACTTTCATAGTCTTTCCTTGTAAGTTACTACCATCTTTTTTTTTTCCTCTTCTATTCCTCATCTGTGATACTAGGGCAAAAAGATTAAGTGTGGATTTGGTCAAAGTTGGATCTAAATTTCAAAGAAGCGGAATTGTCACATGGACCTATCCTAGAGTTACTAAATTTAACTTTTATTATTTTTTCAGTCAACTGTGAATGTGATTTTTTTTGTGTGTTTCATCTGAATTTTCAACTTTAAGTTGCTGAATATTTTTCTACCATTTTTGGTTGTATACAAGCTACTTGAATGTTTTGCATTGTAAGTTATTGACCTTTAAGTTTGTTAATTGACTTTTGTGGTCATTTGCTCTAAAATTGAATGACTACTTCCTCTTCCTCCTCCTCCTCCTCCTCCTCCTCC